GGGTTTAGGGGTAGTTTCTAAGTTCACCGAGGCCTCGGGCCCTAGGTTTATGGGGGGGGGGGGGGCATAAAGCAGGTACCACATCTCTACAGCCCGGCTTGTTTTCGCTGTCCGGGACGCCCCCCCCCCCCCCCCCTCAACCCCCCACTCCCACAACCTAAACCCTAAACCCTAAACCCGAAACTTATTTGAGGGTGGTCTGTACATCAGGCCTGGGTTACAGCAAACCCAGGCCGAGGCGGGTCGCGTTGCGTTAACATTGAGTCTTTTAGAGTCCTCCTATACTTTGCGGCACATTCTTTTGAAAATACAATTTCAAAAAAACTCTACAAAGGACTAGCGAACTACCCACATAGGCTTTGAAGATTTTCGAGCTTTGGGGAGACTTAGGGCTTCGGAGTCTTGCTGCTGAAGTCCGGGGCTGGGGCCTTCGAGCTGCCACCCTCACATCCTTAAATCCTTAAAACAAAATGCAACACGTTAGGACCCTACTGAGCCACTACTGAACCCTCATCAGTGCTAAAGAATCTAAAGGGTCCTACTGAAGCTGAACAAGAAACCTCGAAAAAACCTCGTAAACCCGAAGCCCTAAACAAGGGTAAGCCGCGACCATCGCAGCAACTCTTTCAAGAGAGAGTTTCTCCCCTAAGGGCTTTGGCCTGAGGGTTTCGGGATTAGGGTCTAGGGTTTAAGGGTTAGGGTTTAGGGGTTGGGGTTTAGCTGGTTCGGGTTGATACGAACACTTGAACAAACTCCTTAAAGTATCCTTTCGGCTAGACCCTGAGCCCTAAACCCTAACTAACCCCAAAACCCTAACCCTAAACCCTCAACCCTAAACCCTAAACCCTAAACCCTAAAACCTAAAACCCTACGGACTTACGGGCCGTTCTTGCGCCAAGCCACCACGGCGTCGGGATAACGCCTGGAGGCCAGTGCGGGCATGCCCTGAACCCTAGGTTTAGGGTTTAGGGTTTAGGGTTTAGGGTTTAGGGCTTAGGGCTTAGGGTTTCGGGTTTAGGGTTTAGGGTCTAGGGGGGGGAATTCTGCCAGGGTTTAGGGTTTAGAGCTGTGTGGCGGTCAGGGTTCAGGGTTTAGGGTCAGTACGCTTAGTCGCTTGCGTCAGAAAACATTAGCAACAAGGCCGAAAAACCGCAATACAGGGGTTCGAATAACTACTCATAGTATTCCCTAGGGTCCCTTTATAATTATACTAGAATAAACCCTAAACCCTAAACCCTAAACCCTAAACACTAAACCCTAAACCCTCCCCAAACCCTATTCCAATTATTCAGGCCCCTTTGGCAGACGGCCTGCAAACATCAGCCCCGCCACCGTGGCCGCCAGCAGGCCCACCTCCAAGCCGAGGCCGTGCAGATCGCGCGTGCAGCTTCAGGGTTCAAGCAGCCCTAAGCCCTAAGCCCTAAACCCTAAACTCTAAACCGTAAACCCCAAACCCTAAACCCTAAACCCTAAACCCTAAACCCTGAACCCTAAACCCTAAACCCTAAACCCTAAACCGCAACTTAAGAGGTTCAAAAGGCTTCGAAGAGGCTCAAGGGGTTTGGCATTCTGGGCTCAGGAGCTTGCACAGAGACCGCTTTGAGTACTTTCCATGAAGCCCTACTTTGGAGAAGACCTTGGTACGTACTTTCTAGGTGTAAGCAGCTATAACTGGGAACCTAGAACCAAAAAGTGTATTAACGCATAGTGCTCCAGAACCCTAAACCCTAAACCCTAAACCCTAAACCCTAAACCCTAAACCCTAAACCCTAAACCCTAAACCCTAAACCCTAAAGTATAGTACTCCAACACCCAGCGAGGGCGGATCAGACTTGAAAGGAGCTGATGCTGGACTTCTCAGGCTTGGAGCTCTATGTACTATAGGGTTTAGGGTTTAGGGTTTAGGGTTTGGGGTTTGGGGTTTGGGGTTTAGGGTTTAGGGTTTAGGGTTTGGGGTTTGGGGTCTAGGGTTTGGTGGGGGGGGGGGGGGGGGCGGGGGCTTTATCGGAGGTTCCTGAATACTTAGAACACCAGTTATAACTAGACGTGAACCTCCAAGTATCAACCCCAACCGCATGCCCAAGACCCCAGCAAAAACTACCCGTTTTAGGGTTGAGGGTTGAGGGTTTAGGGTTTAGGGTTTAGGGTTTAGGGTTTAGGGTTTCCAGCAGAAACCCACAGAGCCGAGACGGCCAAGCCACGACGCCGACCACAACCACAGCACGACCTGGGCATGGTGCGGAGTTCGCGGGCTCGAGATGTACGAGTAGGGTTTAGGGTTTAAGGTTTAGGGTGTGGGGTTTAGGGTTTAGGGTTTACGGTTTAGGGTTTAGGGTTTAGGGTTTAGGGTTTAGGGTTTAGGGTTTAGGGTTTAGGGTTTAGGGCTTACGGTTCGAGATGTAGGGTTTTGATGGTTGCAGGTGTAAGATCGCTGCACGCAAGGGAGCAAGGCAGTCCCGTGCAGGAATAAGCGCGAGATGGGTGCAGGGCCCGTACTTCCTTCTCGCATTGTCGAGCCAGGCAAGCAGATGTGGCTACTTAAAGTTGCCTCTAATAGAACATGTTGCAGCACGGACGAGAAGTCTACCTTCAATCCCACAAAGTAGGGTTTAGGGTCTAGGGTTTAGGGCTTAGGGTTTAAGGTTACGGTTTAGGGTTTAGGGTCACACATACCTCTGCTCGGATTCCCCGCCAGCCAGACCACAACACTTCTTAGGGCTCAAGCTTCGGGAAAAACACGCCCTATGCCCTAAGCCCGAAACCCTGAACCAAAAGCCCCAAACCCTAAACCCTGAACCCGAAAACCCTAAACCCCCCAGGCCCTAAACCCCAAACCCGAAGCCCTAAACCCTGAACCCTAAGCCGTAAGCCCTAAACCCGAAACCCTAAGCCCTGAACCCTAAAATCTCAGATTTCCCGAAACTCGGCCAGGGGGCCGCCAGAAGGTGGTGGCTGGGCCGCCTGCGGCAAATTGGGGAGCTTGCGATCTTAGGGGGTGCCCTTTTTGGGGGTTTAGGGTTTGGGGGTTTAGGGTTTGGTGTTTAGGGTTTAGGGTTTGGGGTTTGGGGTTTGGGGTTTAGGGTTTAGGGTTTAGGGTTTAGGGTTCAGGGTTTAGGGTTTAGGGTTTAGGGTTTAGGGTTTAGGGTTTAGGGTTTAGGGTTTAGGGTTTAGGGTTTATGAGGGGGTTCTATTTTATTGGGGTATAGAAGGGGTGGGAAGTACCCAAATTCTCGCCAAGGCCAAAGTGCAAGGGTTTAGTGTTTAGGTTGAGGTTTAGGATTTTAAGATTTAGGGTTTCAGGGTTTCAGGGTTTCAGGGTTTTGGGGTTTCAGGGTTTTGGGATTTCAGGGTGTCAGGGTTGTAGGGTTTCAGGGTTATAGGGTTTAGGGGTTTCAGGGGTTTCCATGGTTGCAGGGTTCTAGAGTTTCAAGGTTAGGGTTTAAGGGATTTAGGGTTTTAAGGTTCTAGGGTTCTAGGGTTTTAGGGCTCTGCGGTTCTCAGTACTCAGGATAACGTTGGCGAGTTCGAGGGTCTCCCTACTAGCTGTCCTTCAAGGAAACCCCAAACCCTGAACCCTAAACCCTAAACCCCAAACCCTGAACCCTCAACCCTAAACCCTAAACCCTAAATCCCAAACCCTAAACCTCTACCCTCAAACCCTGATCCCTAAACCCTGCTGAAACCTCCGAACCCCTGAGTCGGGCCGGGAGTTTAGGGTTTAGGGTTTAGGGTTTCGGGTTTAGGGTTTAGGGTTTAGGGTTTAGGTTTAGGGAACCGGAAGCCCTGAACAACCTCCCCTCTCCCTTGCCCCCTTTCTCGGAAATCTCCGTCCTGGCCAGCCCCTGCCGGGCTCGCCGTGTCCAGGGACTGGCATGGGCTTCATGGGCACGGGGGTGTCAGGCTTGAGTGTTCCAGGACTATAGGGTTTAGGGTTTAGGGTTTAGGGTTTAGGGTTTAGGGTTTAGGGTTTAGGGTTTAGGGTTTAGGGTTTAGGGTTTAGGGTTTCAGAGTCTTGTAGGGTCTGCAAGGATGGCAGGGTAGTGTAAGGTCAGGGTGTAGGGCTTAGACTGTCAGAGTGTGGAGTTTAGGGTTTAGGGTTTAGGGTTTAGGGTTTAGGGTTTAGGGTTTAGGGTTTAGGGTTTAGGGTTTAGGGTTTAGGGTTTAGGGTTTAGGGCTCAGGGTTCAGGATTCAGGGTTTAGGGTTTGGGGTTGAGGGCTTTGCTCCAGCTTTCTATTCGGAGAGTTTCAGGGAGAATGTCTACCTGCAGTGGCTTTCGGGAATGGTGGCTCCAAGGCCGGACAAGACAGGTTGAGGATTTAGCGTTTAGGGTTAGGGTTTACGGTTTGGGCTTCGGGCTCAAAACCCATGGCGCTTAGCGTCAGCTACACGAGACATCCATGCAATCCCCCCCTTGGCCCCTTGCGCCTCGTACTCCGCGCCCGTCATCGCCGGCATCCAGCTCCCGTTTGTAGGGAGCTCCGGGTGTGTGCGGGGTCGGGGAGGGGTGATCAGAGTCGTGATGTCTGGTACCTCCTAGGGGGCCAACTCATCCCGAATCTTGCCAGCGATGCGAGGCTAAGGCACTTGCGGCATGAATCCGGGTGTATACGGGTGCATCGGGGACTTCACGGGCCCAGGCATGTTCTTGGAATTTCGTGGGGGGGTGGGGGGGGCATTTGCCTGCCATCAGGCCAAAGCTGAGCCAGCAAGCACAGGTACACGAAAAACAAAACTTGAAAGAAGCCTGTATTTAGGGTCTCGGGTCTGGGGAGCGCCCTGGGATGTTCCCCGGTATACCATCAGTCCGACTATAAATCCCTATGAAGGACTGCTAGCATGGAACATCCCACGTGAAACCTGAAACCTGAAACCTGAACCCTACGCTCTAAACCGCAAGCCCTAAACCCTAAACCCTAAACCCTAAACCCTAAACCCTAAACCCTAAACCCTAAACCCGAAACCTCCTGCAAAACTGCCGAGGACTTCCTGGGCGCCAGAC